AGGGCTCCTGCTGAAACAGTGCGGGGGCTGCACCAAGGGAAGGAGACTCGTAGCTCCCCACCAGACGTGCCTCCGGCCTTCATTACCTGACTCTGATACCAGCCGCCCCTCCCGGGACAGTCTACTCTTCGGCTTGGTTCCATACCCCTGGCAATGGGGACACAGAACTCAGACAAAACTCACCATTGTGGGGTGAATTAGAGAAGTGGCCCTGTGACCACAGGCGGGATCTGTGGACGGAAGGGGCACAGCCATTGGCAGCTCAGGCCCCCTAGCCACGTGGTCTCTGTGGCCAGGAAGCCCACTGCATGCCAACTCATGGTCTCATCTCGGGGCAATCCTCCCGCCCCCACCCGCCTGTGCTCTGCCCCATGGTCTCTGCCGCAGCCTCTGTCCCTGTGGGCAGAGATGGTGAGTGAGCTGCTCTTCGCCCTGGATGGCCCCAGGACTTCTCTCCCGGCTTCCAAATTGGCTCCTACAGGCAGGGATGGCTTTGGTGACGATGTGGGGTTTGTCTTTGGACAGACCGTATTCCCAAGAGAGCAAAACAGCAGGGACTTGTTCCACGCGCCCTACTACAGTAGAGACTCAAAATCCATGCCCCCCCTTCCCCCTCAATCTTTTCCATTAGCATAGCAGAGACCTCCTGCCCCCGTGAGTTTCCAAACCGGGGACTGTTTAGAGGAGTAAAAAAGCCGCCTCTGGCTCCTATGGAGCAGCGATGGTTTTGAACTCCTGGCCTTGCAGATTGCAGCCCATTGTGTAACCCACTGTGCCACCAGGGCTCCTGGCCATGCGGATACAGTTAGTTGTTTGCGAGCAACAACAAAACCATCTCTCTGAGCTGCCAGCTCCGGATAAGAGTGGACTCCAGTTCTTCCAGAGAGCCTGGCGGGGTCTGGCCCTAAGCACCCTTAAGAGGACACACAGGCCATTTCTCTTGTGCTCCTTAAACCCCAGTAAACAAGGGCAAGTCAACATTGACAGACCCAACAGCATTGCGCAAGCTGCCCCCTGGTTTCCCGGCAGGCGGGAAGTGTGCACCGTGTCCGCGTGTGCCTGTTCTTTCCCTGGCGTGACTGGGGATCATCTGCCCTCAGTACTCTCTCAGCTTGACTTTGGGAAAGACCCAAGCCTGCTGCGCTTTAGGACTCCCTTTCCTTCCACGAGTTAAGCCCCTGGCTGGCGTGAGCTGGACCGTCCCTCCGGCTGTTGACTTGGCACAGAGGATGCACCAGGTGTGCACCTGGACTTCCTGCCCCTCTTTCGGTGGGTTAGTGGCCTGCGAGCCAGCAGTCTCCTGGAGTAGACCTCACAAATGCTTCTACACAGAGGAGTCACGTTCACTGACCATCAAGGCGTGTTAGTCCTTTGTCAGTTATCAAAAACAGCAACACAAACCCAACTGACTGCTGTGGAGTCCATAGGTAGAAATGTTACTGTGAGTTTCCGAGACTGTAACTCCCAACAGGATAGGAAGGCTTTCTCCCGAGGAGCGGCTGCGGCTGGTGGTCTCAAACTGCTGGCCTTGCAGATGGATCTCAGCCCAACACGTAGCCAGGTGGTATGCGGTTGTCTGCGGACCCTTGCTGCATTATGGGACTGTCTTACCACCATCAAGTGTGGGACCAGCCAGTTCTCGCGAGTCCGTCCGTCCGTCCGTCCTGGGAAATGGAGTGCAGGAGGGAGGGGAGAGAACTGCATGTGGCCTTTTAAAGACCGCCTGCCGTCACCAAGCTGATCCCCTTCATAGCGACCTTATAAGACAGAGTCGACCTTCTTAGGGGGGGTGCCTAAATTGTAGGTTTTTTTGGGGGGGTGGGGGTTAGCGTCCTTTTTCTCACGTGACTTTTTAACAGCGGTGCCAAGAAGAGAGTTGGTATTTTGGCCTGGAGAAACCCCATTCTCGGGAATAAAAACCAGTGTAAAAGCGGGGTGGGGCGGGTTAAGAAGAGTTAACTGACATCTCTGACACAGTGAGACGCTAGCAGAGGTGGGCAGAACAAGAAACACCAAAAACCAAACCGGAAAAAAGCAAACCAGGTCACTTCCCCCCACAGTGACCCCAGAGGACAGCGTAGAAAAAGCGGGCCCTGTGGGTTTCCAGACTGAATCTCTGTGTGGGCGCAACGCCCCATCCTTGTTTTAAGGAGCAGCTGGTGGCTTCAAACTGCTGGCCATGCAGCTCAAAGTCCAGTGTGGGACCCATGGGGCCACCGGGGCTCCTGGACCAAAGGCCAGGGCTGCCTGCATTTGTTACCTGTGCCGGTTGTTGGAGTTTGATCAGGACCCTGTGACTGTCCTTAGCGGGAGCAAGCAGGTGGGACTGCTCAGGTTCATGTCCTCCTCCATCCCTCAGGGAGCTTTGGTGGCACAGTAGTTAATGAGTTAGCTTGCTAACTGCAAGGTCGGCAGTTCAAAACCCCCAGCTGCTCCGTGGGAAAAAGAGGAGACCCTCCATGGGAAAAAGAGGAGACTCTCCGCTCCTGTCATGAGTTCAAGTGTCAAACCCCCACTGGGGCAGCGTTGCTCAGTCCCTGGGGTTCCCATGGGTCAGCATCGACTCGGTGGCAGCGAGTTTGGTTTCCCGAGCCGTCACCCCCAAAGAACGGAGTGGATAGATAAAACAGAGGGAAGATATCAGAGAAAGAAAAGGGGCATTGGGCAATGCCCTTTTGGGAAAGGGGGCGCATACAAAGAGTGATCTTGCAGCTTGGTGGCAAAGCAGACAGTTCCTCGCTCCCCAGAGCCAGTGTGGCACCACTTCCTGCCAGTGGGTTGTGCTTGACCCTGGGGCCAGCATGAGCGCTGCGCAGGGAGAGGACCGTGCCTGGGCCAGTACGGGGGTGGGGGAGCGGGCGGAGAGGCAGGCTCCTCCTGCTATGGGATCTCTTTCTCTTGTTTCTTCTCTCTGCCGACTTTCAGTTATCCGTAGCAGAACGGTTGGTTTCTGGCGGTTCCTTGAACCTCTTCTGCCTGGAGAATTCTCACAGTATTTCTCACTTGCCTTTATCTTTAGTAGTTGAACCAATACACACACACACACACACACACACACACACACACAAATTTTCCTCTACAACGTCTGACATTACCAGCAGCATGCCTGTCCAGTAATTCTCTCTTCCAACCATACCTCTGCCCCTAAGCCCAGTCCCAGGGCTTACCCTGATCGATTTAAAAGCAGGGATGTGGTCCTTTGAATATACAGACTTAAAAGTCTCTACCCAACCATCAAGCTTCAGGGCATTTTACTTTCTTTGTTCAAATAGATCACTGAGTGGCAAGTTATGGTTAGAGCTATTTCCTAATAAGAATTTTAAAATTTAGTTTTGCCGGGAGTCAGTTCTTCAAGAAATAAGACCAATAATAGACAAGGGGTTTTCCTTTGAAACCCAGCCAGGCAGGCCTCGGGCTCAAGCTCCAAGCTGTGAAATGACCAGAGCAAAAGGTGTTACCCGGAGGATCCTCTCCCCACAGGTGTGGCCTCGAAGTTATTCTGTGATCATCTTTGGTCTTTCTGGAGCACTGACGACTTACAGGCGTGTATTAAGATATGGTTCCTCCAGGAACTCACAGTCCCCTAGGAATTATTGAGACAGATACATAATTGAGTAAGGAACCAAGGATGATGCCTAAGCTAAAAAAAAGTGGGGGGTGGGGACCTAAGTGTGTAGTTTAAGGGAAGAAAACGCTCGTTTCTGTTTGGGAGCTAGTGATGTTTCATTCAGAAAGGAACCACTGAGATGATTTGGACTGGCGGGCATCCAGGCGTATCTGGGAGAGCCCCTGGGCGGTGAGGGTAAGGGGTCAGCAGGAACCCCGCCCGAGAGCTCATAGCCGCAGGATGAGGATGAGGGGCATAACAGGGATGTCTGAGTGGGAGCTGGCCATGGGGGCAGTTGGCCTTGTTGAAGTGTGAGATGCTGGCTAGATCTGTTGTAAACAGTTGGGGCTGTGGATCTGTGGCTTGTTAGAAATAGTGTATTAATCATTCTTTGCATCATGGAAGCCGTGAAAAGGGAGACTGCCAGTGTAAGCTAAGTGTGGAAGGAGAGGTGTGGGATTGCATGATTGTATGCAGACAGCAGAGCAGCCCTAGGAAGTGTTGGGAGCACCGTTCCAGAAGTGAACAGAGGAGAGGGCCTGGGAGTTCAGGAACTGCTTCCTGAGGCAGCCATAGAATGGGGGTCACGCTCCCAGGCGAGAGGTACCTGAAAGCTCCCAGCAGGAATCTCGGCACTTTGCAAAGAAGTGAAGAAATGAATAGAAGGGTTCTGTGTGACCCGGCTGACCCTGAGCATGTGGGGGTTTTCCTCTTAGGGGTTGATCCCCTCGTAAAGAGGCTCATAATTGCTATGGGGTTTAGGGGTTATCAGTCCAGTCCTCTAAGCACCATCACGAGCCCGTTGGAGGACCAGCATTTGGGATACATATTGGGCCTCGTCATTTCTCATTGCCTTCCTTGCAAGACATTTCTTTGATGAGCGCCACCAGTGTTGGGAGAAGGTGGGTCTGCTGAGCCTGCTTTGCTCTGTCTCTGCAGAGTCTGTCATAGGACAGATGGACAGAAGTTCTCCAGGACAAGCCATGGCGCTGCCAGATCACAACGGGCTTGGGTACCCAGCACGGCCCTCAGGCGGCGAGCACCACCGGTCCCGGACCCTGCAGAGACACCACACGATCCAGGGCAGCGATGATGCTTATGTACGTCACCCCTGCCCCAAGCCCCTGGGATGCGGGGGTTCTACGGACCCAGACCCTGGACACAGAGCCCAGCGTCCACGCCACCGCTCGTCTCGGTCTGAGTCCAGCTCCCTGAGTAACCCTAACTGACAGGCTCCAGTACATTCTCAGTAGAATCGATAGACTAAAATTTAGACTGGAAAAATCAAGAAGGGTTGTCATGTGCTCCATCAAATGGAACAAGCCTCCTAGGGTCATCGGTCACTTTCTGGCAGCTACTTGAACTTATTCAAACAATGGACAGGTCTGGCTCAGCTCCACTTGCTTTTACTGGGCAAACTGGGGCCACAGCATGGACATGGCAGCAACTGGCCGCTTGCGGCTTTTCAAGTTTAAATGGAGCACTGCTCATTAACTAAGAAAATGTGGTTTCTCATTCACCCGTCTGTCGTATTTCATGCTGGTGGCTGCCACACTGGGCAGGGCAGAGAACGCATTTCCTTCAGTGCAGAGGGTCCGATTGGACCATGCCCGCCTACAGCAGCCTCCTGGTGATGATGGGGATGGGGTCAGAAACCTGGTTTCAGGAGGACCCGTGGGTGTCAGGGGACCTAATCCACGGCACCCCCTTCCCTCCCCAAGTCACAGCCTGGGTAGGTCCTCACTGTCACCCTTGCAGCAGAAGGGGCCGCAGAGGAAGGTCGTCTGGCCGTATTGCTTGGGATCGGTGATCTAACTGCCCGGTTCCTAGAATCATCTAGAATATAGGTTCTCCAACTTATTGGGACTGCCACCTCCTTTTCAAAAAAAAAATTACCCAGCGCCCCCCTGGCAATTACAAACATTTTATGCCCGAGCCCGCCATGATCCAGGATAAAGTGGAGGTATCTGCTTGTGCAGACTCCCCTCCCCCATTGCTCCAGTGCCCCTCCTCCAGGGGAGCATCAGTCTCTAAGGGTCCAGTGTCTGGCATCCTCATGCCCTCTCCTGATTGCTTTCTGCAGGTGCAGCTGGATAACCTGCCAGGAATGAGTCTCGTGGCAGGGAAAGCACTTAGTTCTGCGCGGATGTCAGACGCAGTTCTCAGCCAGTCCTCGCTCATGGGGAGCCAGCAGTTTCAGGACGAGGACAATGAAGGTAAGGGGCCTTGTGCATGGGGTTCCCCAGAGAAGTTCCTGAAAGGGGGGTGTCATCCCTTCACCGTGGTGATTGACACCACCACTACTTCTGCCCCTCTTCTGCCAAAGAGTTCATGGAGTGCATAACAGGGCAGGGCTCTGGCTGGGAACAGAGGGCCCCATTTCTGTTTGCAATTCTCTGTTAAGATAACATCCTTCGCAACTGTGTTTGTTCCCAGCTGGAGAGCAGTGTGTGGTCATGAAAAACGTTCTGCCTCTCCTCGGACCTGGTGGAGGGAGGGGAGGGTGTCCCAGCAGATAAAGCCTAGGGCACAGGCTGGACAGGGCCAGAGTAAGCCCTGTTCTGTAGGCAAGGCTCGTACGTAACCTTTCCAGGCCCAAGATCCTCATGTTTAGTGGCAGAAACGAGGACCTACGTAGATCATGTCAGGAAAGTTAACTGGCTTAACCCATGCACAGTTCTTCGCAGCCGAGAACACAGAGGGTGCTCCGTACCCGGTGTCTGTTGGCAGTGTAGCCATTGTCTTCACCCTCGTTGATTGAACGTGAGGGTGAGGGGGGTCAAAGGACAATGGAGGGCAAGGAAAGCAGCACTTAGAGGAGACCTGGGGAGTGATCATGGGCCCCCTGCCCTCCTGCTGCTGGACAGAGAGGGGCCGGCCATCCGTGGAGAATAAAAGGCAGAGAGTCAGCTCACTCCCACGCTGCTCACTCAGGCTGCCTCTCTTCCCGGCCCCCCACCGTCCCCCACCCCGAGTAGCTCCCTGCCAACCTTACACGTTCCCTTTTGGTCTTGCAGAATGTAGGGAGAGTCTGGAAGGTCACGAGCACCCAGACCTGACTGGTGGCAGCCAGCATCTAAACTCCTCTTGCTATCCGTCTGCGTGTATTACAGACATCCTGCTCAGCTACAAGCACCCTGAGGTCTCCTTCAGCATGGAGCAGGCAGGCGTGTAACAGGAAACGGCGAGTGAGTATCACCCTGGCTGAGCGAGGCCAGTGACCACACACACACACACACACACACACACACACCCCACCCCACCCCCGCCCAGAGATGTCTTCCACGCACTGCGACCAGAGCGCTGAGACGGACAGGTGCTGATCTTCCACGCACGGCCTTCTGGTGTGTGTGGTTGGTTTTCGCTAAGCCCTGCACTAGTCGAGTCTGTGTTCTGGGTCTTTCTTTTTCAGTGGGGAGGGCTGCAGAAGACTTGCCAGACATCAGGGGTCCTCAAACTTTTTAAACAGGTGGCCAGTTCAGTGTCCCTCAGACCGTTGGAGGGCCGGACTATAATTTTTTAAAAAAACTATGAACAAATTCCTATGCGCACTGGACGAGTCGGCTGCTAAGCAGGACAGGTAGAGGCAGCAAAAACACCCGGCAGGCTGGATAAATGTCCTTGGTGGGCCGCAGTTTGAGGACCCCTGCCAGACATAGTCTCCTGGCTTCATTATGACACAAGACATAGGGGCCCACATGGGACAGTAAGTGAGCTACAGTTTCGGAGGTCAGAGGCGACCTGCAGTCAGGGGAATAAAGAATCGAGGCAGTCCTTAACTTGGCCCTGAATGACGAACCCCAGCAAGAAAACCCCTTTCTGGTGGCTGTGCAGAAGCAGGTGAAGGCTGTTGGAGACAGGGGAGAGAGACCAGAGGTAGCAAAGGGGTTGGCCGGAGTAATGCCCACGTTTGCCTAAGGTAAGACAGTAGATGTTCCTGGTTCTGCCCTTGAAAAAATCTTTGTCAGAAAGGTCTTGGCCACCTGGCAAGTCCCTGTCTCACCCTCACTGTGGTAAGCCTCGTAAAACACCGAAGGGGTCTGGGGTTGTAACTTTTCCGTGGACTCCTTGAGTGATTCGCTTTCAAACGAGTCCCCCTCCTGTCTGCTCTGTTGCAGGTGCTGTGTACAGTCTGGGAGTGCAGCGGTCCCTTTACTCCAGCAGTATCGCCCTTGTGTTCCTCCGCACCCGGCATTCCGTGGCTCTTGCCCTCACACTGGGTGGCTCGGTGTGCTGGGCTCGGGGCTCTGAGGGGGTCTGGCTTGTATGATGACATCACCAAGGAAATAAACAGGACATCCGTGTCTCCACCTCTCATGCAGGAGCATTTGGTGTATTTCAGTTGGGTGGGTTTCTCACTGGTTTTGAGGGGCTGCGGTTCCCCCGTGCTTTCTCTGGGGGGTCGTTTCTTTCCTGTCTCCCCTTCTTTCTCGTTCTTCTCTTCCCTCCTCCCTCTCTTCCTTCCCCCTGCCCCGTCTCCCCCTTCCCTGGCCACCCCTCCCTCTGCCTCCCTCTATTTGAGACCAGCCAGTGAGCAAAGCCAGAGGTCTCTGAGCCACCCCAACCCCCACCCCCAGCTTGCCTTTACAGAACACCCTCCATCCACCTGCCTTGTCCTCTGCTCCCGGGAGCAGACACCAAGGGCTGACAGTGGCTCAGGGAAGGGAGAGGAAGGGCGGAGTGGTGGCCCCTGGCACTTGGAGGACAGAGTCAAAGAAACCCCAAGCCTGGAACCCAAGAGGGGTCTGCTGCTGGGTTACCCAGAAAGGTGTCTGGCCCAGCCAAGATCGACCGCAGCTTGACCCTAGAGCACTGCTCCATGGAGCCCTCTCAGAGCCTAACCCAGCCCCTTCTCGGAACGGCAACAGTTGGTTGCCTCTTTCGCCCTGTTGGCTCTCCCCATGGAACACCCAATAGGGGTGTACTTCCATTCTCCCTTTGTAAAAGTCTGCTATTAAAAAAGCAGACCGGTTCTCCTTTTATATGTAAATATCTGTGTGTTTCCCCCTCTGAGCCTCTTTGTCTCGGGCAAGAAGAAATAGGAGGTGTCTTGGGTCCTGCCTCTCCTAACTTCCCCTCCCCTGCAAGCCCCTCCCCTGGGCGGCCTCAGCCCCTATCTTCATTCTTGATCATGTAGGAATTGTTTTAGATAAATGTTGATATTATCGTTATTATGATGATGATTAATAAAGACAAAAGGGATTTTTGTTTAAGAGAGAAAAGTTTAACCAGATTCTGTTCTATTTGAATTGTGACTTGCACCTTCTGCTCAAAAGTATTTTATTTAGACATTGTAATTGTGAACGGGTTTTCCTCGTGCCAGTGACAAATGTAGTGGTCTTGTCCCCACCCCACCCCACCCCTACCTACCCCGTGCATATGCAATAGCTATTGTTTGTGTCATTATTTTTCTTTTTCTTCACTGTTAGAGACCAAAGTCTTCTCTGCTGGCCAGGGGCTGAGAGAGGATCTGGCTTAGCCCTTTCTCATCCTCAAAGCAAGAAAGAGATGTAAACGTTCTGACTCTTGACCCTTTTCCCTGAAAGAGTAACAGGTCCCTCACCCCTTCCTAGTCTCTTCGTGCCCCGCAGCCCCCCCCCTCCCCACACCGAATTTGCACAGAAGAAGCGGGTACCCAGCATGCCTTCCTGCGTGGCTGGCAGGATCCCAGGCAGCTGGCTCTTCTCCACTGGCTCCTGGCAGCTCAGTTCTCGGACCCACTAGCCTCCCATGGATGTCTGCAGTGCCAGAGCCCTCCGCAGGATGGAGCCCTGTTTCCATGGGCCCCAGTCTCCCCACCGCTTGGTGGGACCACCAACTAACTACTCAGCAGCAGGGGGTTTCCAAGAAAACCCAAAAAAGCTTTTGTCTGATTGCTCTGGGCTGGGTCCAACTCTGCTCCCCCACCCCCTCAGCCTACCCACCTGGCTCTGCCCCGCTCTGCCGTCCTGTTTACATGGTACTGTCTTTGTGGAAGAGCAGATCGCCACCTGGCAGCAGCTGCCCAGATGACAGGCAGGGAGCCTATTAACGTGCCATCTTGCAGACTACACTTTTAAAAGAAATCATTGCTTTGTATTGTAGTAATCAGTAAGCGCAGTATTTGTTGAATGTATATGGATATACTATACTATTTCTGTTATTTGAAAAAAAATGTTCGAAGTATTTTCTTTCCTTTCTCATTGATGTTGAACTAAAAAAGGATTAAAGAGATCTCCAGACCTATACTGCAGTAAGACTTCCCGTCCTTTTTCGGTGGGGCACTTGCAGATCAGTAGCTAGGTGGGGGGTCAAGGAGATCATGCAAACAAAAACCTGCTTCTGTTCTGACTGGCCACGCGGTTTGGAGTCCAGCTGGGAGAAGCCCGGGTAGGAGGGGGGTCAGAGAGGGGCTGGAGAGGCCTCCTGAGCTAGTGACCCGCATGCAAGCCGAGGGATGCGGCCACTATCTGCCGGGCCTTCTGCAGAAGCCCGAGGGTGACTTCACACTGTGCCCCAGGCACCCAGCCGGGACTCTGCCCCTCAGAAGAAAGCCTTTGAGTTTGCTGAGACCACAGAAACCCATTCCTTGAGGAAGGGACTTACGAAGAGCTGTGGGACAGGCCCCAGCTGAGCCCTTGAGCGCTGTGTCCACCCAAGGCCACAGAAGTGTTAAGATGGCACAGTGCTTCTCGTCCATTGTGTCCTCCCTTTTCCACAAGCCAGAGTAAAAGTCCCAGCCAGGAGCTTGCTGGTGGAAGGAAGGCCCTGAAGAAAAACTGCAGGGTAGTGGAAACGGTGGTTGCGTTGGTAGAAATACGCGTAAGACGAGGGAACTGCCATCAGCCAAGCCTGTGGAGCCTAGAGAGTGGGGCCGCTGAGACATCCTGAGTTCATCCATGCACGCTCTCCCAAGAGTCTGCCTATCACCACACCACCAGAGATCGGCGTGCCTTGGTGTGAGAGGCCGGGCGAACCTGTCAAGGAAGCAGCCACAGAGGCCGGAAGATCTCTGAGTTCTAGAGGCACAAGTCCTCCCCACAGATCCTCCCTCTTGTCTTCCTCCTAACTTTTTTACCAAGCCCAGCCACAAGGACGGAGAAGGCAGCGGGCTGGTGTGACGCCCAGGAAGCTCAGCTGGGGTGCTGCACAGAGGAGGCCTGTCTGCACCTTTGCCTCGCAGGCCGGAAGGCAGGAGAGCAACGTCTCTCTTTTCCTGGGAGGCTACGTAAGGAGTCCTGGCGACACACTGGCTGAAGCATTGCTCTGCTAACTGCAAGGTCCACAGTTCAAACCCACCAGGTGCTCTGAGGAAGCATGCTGAGGCTGTCTGCCCCCTTAGAGATGTCCCTCCCGGGAAGCCCTGTCCCGTGGGCTTGCTGAGTCTGAATCATGATGACAGTGGGCGTACATGATTTCTAAGGCGCCTGTCACCTAAAGCAAGGGGCCCTGGTGAGGTCGTGGTGGGCTGCTGGCCACAGGGTCAGCAGTTCAAAACCACCAGCCGCCCCTCGGGAGAAAGACGAGGCTTTCTATTCCGGTAAACAGTTCGTCTCTGAAATCCACAAGGGCATTTCGACCGGCCCTATGAATTGAAAAGTACTCAGTAGCAATGAGTTTGTTTTGTTTTGTTGTAGGATTTGGTTTTAGTTATTTTGACAATAAAAGCAGCAAAAACACATAACTAAATAGGTAAAATGGGGAGGGGGGGCTCTCTACATTGCTCAGTCAGAATCTCTGTCCCTGAGTGCCAAGTATCTCAGTGGGTGCCAGGCACCACACCTCCCGGTGCTCTGTTCTGAAAGGGGCCCGGGGTGCAGGACAGAGTGCCCGTTCCTTCCCATGCCCTGCTGACCCACCCTTCAGTGTGCCAGTGTAATTCGTGGGCAAGTACTGTTGAGTGTCTTCTATGTGCCAGGTCTAGTGGAGGGCAGAGTCCTCCCAGGTCCGACTGACCGGACAGCCAGCCTTACAAGACATACCGTGTGGAGGAGCAATGTATTGAGTCCCTCCTCATCCTGAGAAATATCAACTCCTACGGGGGCTGCCAGAGCTCCCAAGTCTGCCAGGGGACCTAGGGTTGGTCACTTGGTGGCCTAGTTCAGAAGCGGCCCCTCAGCAGACTCCCAGCACTGGGAAGGGTGATGGAATAATGGTTTGTGGTGTTGGTGGGCCCCCGCACACCCTCAGTGGCACCGACTGACCATCATGGATGAGTACCACTTGTCATTGTAAGCTTTTTGTTGTGGTTTTTTTTTATCAGCCCGTCCAGAAAGACTTCCTTCCTTTCCAAAATACTAGTAGCAAAAGGGATTAAGTCTCCCTGCCATTGGGTCAGTGCTGACTCACAGTGGGCCCCTGTGGGTGTCCGAGGCTGTAACTGCTGACAGGAGTAGAAAGCCTGGTCTTTCTCTCGAGGAGATGGTGGTGGTTTCAAACTGCCAACCATGCGGATTGTGTAACCACGACAGAACCATGGAATAGCCAGGTCAGAGAATGGATTCCAGATGGAATCTTCCCGTTTGCTCAGGTGCTCTCATCTTACCAACGCCACTCCCCTGGAATCCCTGAGCCAGGAAGATCAGAGCCCCTAGACCATGGGTTCTCAACCTGTGGGTCGTGACCCCCATGGGGGTCGACCCTCCCTTCTCACAGGGGTCGCCTAAGACCATCGGAAAACACATTTCCAATGGTTGGTCACCACAACATGAGGAACTATATGAAAGGGGCACGCCATTATGGAGGTTGAGAACCGCTGCCCTAGACTGATACAAAGGGCATGTGCGTTGGGCCCTGCAGCCAGCCGACCACCACAAAGAAGTAGAAGCCAAGCACCATATACGAATGGCTGTAGGAGGCTGAACTGCAGTTCTCAAAGCAAAATACCACTGGCCGTATCTGGCCTGCCAGCCAAGTGTCAAAGTGCTCTTGTCACAAAAACCAAAAACTCACTGCCATCAAGTTGACACCAGCTCATAGCAACCCCGCATGACAGTGTAGTCCTGCCCCTGTGGGTTTCTGAGACGGTCACTCTTTATGGGAGTAGAAAGCCCCATCTGTCTCCCCGTGGAGCTGCTGGCGGTTTCAAACTGTGGACCTTGTGGCTCTCAGCCCAGTGCATAACCACTGCGCCCCCTCGCGGACTGTGTGAGTGTTGGCTCTTGTTATAGGGGCTGTTGAGTTGGCTCAGACTCCTAGCTGCCCTGTGGGCAACAGAAGGAGACACCCCCGAGTCTTGTGCCTCCTCACCCTTGCTAGCTCTGAGCCTGCTACTGCAGCCCCGGGTCAGGCCAGCTCATTGAGGGTCTTTGCTCCTTGTTGCTGCCCCTTTACTGTCCCCTGCATGATGCCCTTCTCCAGGGACCGGCCCCTCCGAAGTATGTGAATCCCACAACTGTCACTTCGAAGGAGCTTTGTTGGATGTTAGGGCCCCTGGTGGTGTAGTAGGTTATGCATCGGGTTGCTAACCTCAAGGTCAGCAGTTCAAAACCACCAGCTGCTCCTTAAGAGACAGACGAGGGTTTCCTGCCTCCCTCATGACTGCTGCGGCTGAGCTCTGGCTTCGTTGTTGTCAGGCTACATGATGACTCACCGCGACCCTGTGCACAGCACGGTGAAGCCAGCCTGCTCTTGCGCCATCTCCACACTGCCTCTGAGGCTGGAGCCCATCGTTACAGCCACTGTGTCCGGCCGTCCACCTGACCGAGGGCCTTCCTCTTTGTCCCTGCCCTCTACCAAGCATGATGGCCTTCTCCGGGGACTGGGCTCTCCTGACAACAGGTCCAAAGGACATGGGATCAAGTCTCGCCACCCTTGCCTCTAAGGAGCATTCTGGCTGTACTTCTTCCAGGACAGATCTGTTTGTCCTTTTAGCTGCCCTTGTGGCACTTTCCATGTTCTCTGCCACCAGCATGAGTTAAGCACATCGATGCTTCTTCAGTCTTCCTTATTCAATGTCCAACTTTCACATGCAGATGAGGCGATGGAAAATTCCGTGACTTGCCTCCTTAGTCCTTAAAGTAACCTCTTTGCTTGTCAACACTTCAGAGGTCTTGAGCAGCAGGCTCGCCCAGCGCCATGCTGCTGTGGCTCTCTCTTTCTCGACGGCTGCTCCCATGAGTATGGATGGGGGGGCCCAGCAAGCCGAAATCCCCAACACCTTCAACCTCTTCTCCACTTGTCATGATCTTAACTGTTGGTCCAGGTGTGAAGATTTCCATCTTCTGTAATCCATACTGAAGACTGTACGCCTTGATCTTCAAGGATTGCTTTAGTGCAGCCGTTCTCAACCTGTGGGTCGCGACCCCTTTGGGGGTCAAAAACCCTTCTACAGGGGTCGCCTAATACATCTGGCATATCAGATATTTATATTACGATTCATAACAGTGGCAAAATTACAGTTATGAAGTAGCAACGAACATAATTTTATGGTTGGGGGTCACCACAACATGAACTGTATTAAAGGGTCGCGGCATTAGGGAGGTTGAGAACCACTGCTTTAGTGCATCAAATGGAGACCTCTCACTGCCATCAAATGGATTCTGACTCATAGGGACCCCATGGACAGAGCAGCATTGCCCCTGGGTTGCCAAGACAGTCAAACTCCGACAATGTAAGTGTATTTGTGGGAACAAATGAAGGAGCTCCCGGAGCCCAGATTGCTGGACATAGAATAGTTATTGTTCATTAAGTGCTAGGTCCCCTCCTAAGGAGCCCTAGTGGTGTCAGATAAACTCTTGGCTCCTAATTGAAAGGTTGGCAGTTCAAACCTACCCAATGGCTCAGTGGGAGAACGACTCGGTGAGCTGCTTCTGTCACGATGACAGCCAAGAACCCCCTATGGGGCAGCTTCACACTCACACAGGGTCGCTATGAGTCAGAACAGACTCACTGCCCCCCCCCAGCCAGTTATCCTAACAGTTCAGATATCTACACGTCCGTATTAGTTTCCTATTGCTGCCGCGACCAATCACCACAAAGCCGTGTGCCTAAAACAACAAACACTTACTGTCTTAAGGTTCTAGAGGTCCAGAGTTCCAAAGTCCAGCTAAAGTCAGGGGGCTAAAGTCAAGGTTCCTGCAGAACTATGTTTCTTCTGGAGGCATTAAGGGAGAACCCATCTCCTTCCTTTTCCCAGCTTCTAGAAGCCACCCACTGGGCAGGGCTCATGCCCCCCTCTCAGCATCACCTCCCTCTGAACTCTGCTTCTGTGGGGGCCCAGGTGATAACCCGGCTGTTGGTACAGGTGAAGAGCCTGAATTCCATTGTCCCTGGACAGGCCCTGCTACCATGTCAGATGATCCAAGCACAGGCTCCAGGGAATAGGGGGGTGGGCATCTTTTTTTTGTGGGGGGTGGGTGGAATTGTTTTCTCTGCCACACATGTAATCCTTAGCTCCAGCAGATGACATTTTCTGCTCATGATCTTCAGTTAACAGATACGGAACAGAGGCATAGGAAGGTTATGCAACTTGTCCAAGCTCAAGCAGCTATCAAGTGGCAGAGCTGGGACTTCCACCTAAGGTTGTCTGGATCCAAAGGGACCTTCTCCAAGACCGAAGCCAGGAGGCTGGCTAGAGTGGGAGGGGCCCGAGGGCAGCCATCCCAAGGCCCAGCAGGCTTGTCTAACGTAGCAGGGAGTTTCCTCAATCCATAGACGTTCATTTCTGCCTGGGTTCTAAGTCCAGAGACCTTTGGATCCTAAGTCTGGCCCCTGAATCCCAGAGATGTCGGGGCAAATTCATTCCACTCTCCTCAACGACCCCACTTACTCAATGGTGGACTCGGAGCGGCTGGCATCATTAGAACCAGCCCCAGCTTAGACTGCGTCTGTGATTCAGATCCTGGCCTTGACCTGGTGTTGGCCGTCCTGGACCTCCCAACAGAGCCGTTAGACAACAGCGCTGCAAACATCAGCATACCCGCGGCACTACACACTCACAGGGTCTCGCAACTTGGCTAGCGTACCTTTCTTGTCCCCACTTCCCAGGTAGGAAACAGGCTCAGAGACATCACCTCATTGGCTCAAGAGTCTCCCGCAAGTCAGAGGCAAAAGGAAATGAGCAGCAAGGTCCGCTGCCACCTCGGATGGTCCCTCGTGCTTCCTTGTGTGTGAACAGGGAACAGCAGGAAGAGCGCAGGCTTCCCCTCATGAGAAAGGCACTCAATGTTAAGGGGGCTTCTTTATACAGAGATGATCCCCGCCCCCAACCTTTGTGTTGTTAAACAGACACCTCACTGGAAAGGTCTGGTGATTGATCAGTTTAAAGCACCCAAACTAGTGTCAAAACCCCTTTGGAAGGCCGTTGCACCCTCACGCCAAGTGGTTAGTCGTTTTCTACGTGACAACGTTCAAAGTTGGTAACTTTCCTATTGGTCCGCCGAACTCATTTTGAAATGCCAGCGATCCCTGCAGTCTCAATGCCTGGGACCCACTGAGCCCCCACCCCTCACCCCCTCTCTTCCCCATGCAACTGCCGCAGCCCCAAGCTCCCCCAGGTTTATGGTCTGGGGAGGTCTGTGCATAGGCTGGAGAGAAGATGCAGGGATTAGCTAGACAGCTGTTCTCAACCTGTGGGTCTGAACCCCTTTGGGGCTCGAACGACCCTTTCACAGAGGTAGCAAAATGACAGTGATGAAGTAGCAACGGAAAGAATGTTATGGTTGGGAGTCACCACAACATGTGGAACTGTATGAAAGGGTCGCGGCACCAGGAAGGTTGAGAACCACTAGACATGAGATAGTGTTGGCGGGAGGATCTGAGCCTTTGCAGGGGAGGAAAGGAAGGGGCTGGGCTGGGCTGGGGGTAAGATAGTGTGTCTGTAGAATGCAAAGGGAGGGGAGGAAATCTGACTTGGGACTCCCAGTGGTCCCCTCCCTGCTACACTGACACAATGGACCCACGAGGGAGGGAAGGGTGCTGCTAACCCCAACCCTGGGCACCCACAAGTCTGCAACCACTGCTGTCCTGCTCCCACCTGAACCCTTGACCCCTGGCCCTTCGGCCTGCAGCTTCCTGTTTGCCCAGCCCCGGGGGCACAGAGCTGATCCTTGAACCCTGGGTTCCACATCAACCGACCAGTGAGCAGCGACAAGGCCCAGGCTGAGCTTATCAGCCTCCCTCCCAGCCCTGCCCCCTCCTGCGGACATAAATAAGTCCAGGGGACAGCTGGTCACACAGAGGTTTCCGAGACAGAATTCTAAGAGCACAAGGTAAGGGCTGCTGCCCTGTCCTCACCCCCCCTCCCCCAATCTCTAGGCCCTGGAGGTGCGGGTGGGTGCCGGGGCCGGACACGGCCCGTAGGGAGGGGGCTGGCTACCCAAGGTCTTCCCGTCTTCCCCTCCAGGTAACCCTTCAAAATGAAAGCCGTGGTGCTGGCGTTGGCTGTGGTCTTCCTGACGGGTAGGTAGCCCTGAACCCAGGGAGTTAACCCCCAGGGACCCTTCTCTTCTCTCTGTTCCTTCTGGCCCTCTCTCCTTCGGGGGCCTCAGAAACCACATTTCTCACCACCCGTCACCCCGCCCCACCCAGAGGCTTGACCTGCTCTCGCTTTCTGCCTGCAGGGAGCCAGGCTCGGCATTTCTGGCAGCAAGATGAACCCCAGACGTCGTCGTGGGACCAAATGAAGGATTTGATCAATATCTACCTGGACACGGTCAAAGATAGTGGCAAAGACTACGCGAGCCAGCTGGAAGCCTCCGCCCTGGGCAAACAGCTCAAGTAAGGACTCAACCAGGGGCCTGGGGCAGGGAGGGTCGGTCCTGGGGTGGGGAGTGGACAAAGACATCCATAGGAAGATGTCGCCAGGCTGGCCAAGTCCTCACCTGCTACTTCTCTGAACTGGGTCCCCCACCAAACCCTCAATGGTGAAACTGGAGTGGGACCCCAAACTTGGTCAGAGCCTCCCAGCAAGGAGCAGGGCCAGTGCCGTCCAGGCAGGGCCCACAGCTCCACCATGGTGGCTGTCCTTAGAAGGAAGGAAAGCGCTCTGAAGGATTACAAAGGACCAGCTGTGGGGGCAGGCAAGGCTGGGCACCAGCCCAGCTCTGTCTCTTGCTCGCTGGATGTCCGTGCCATTCCATGAGGGGTGACGAAGGCACAAGGTAATACCTCATGTATGGGGAAAACCATGGGGAGTGTGGCCCAAAGCTCTCAATCGCCCAGGCCTGCCCACAAGTAAGCTGGGGCCCTGAAGCTTGTGCTCTGGGTAGCGGAGGGTGGCCATCGATCAGCCCCTCCCTCCCCCTTCAGCCTGAAACTCCTGGACAACTTGGACAGCTTGAGCACCAGTGTCAGCAAACTCCAAGAGCAGCTAGGCCTTCTGTCCCAGCAACTCTGGAGCACCCTGGAGGAGGACACCTCCCAGCTGCGGCAGATGTTGAACCAGGACCTGGAGGAGATGAAGAAGAAGGTGCAGCCCCACCTGGATGAATTCCAGAAGAAGTGGCAGGAGGAGGTGGAGCTCTACCGGCAGAAGGTGGCGCCGCTGGGCCAGGAGCTGCAGGGTCTGCAGGAGAAGCTGGTGCCCCTGGGCGAGGGCCTGCGTGACCACGCGCGAAACCTCGTGGACAAGCTCCGCCCCTATGGCGAGGAGGTGCGCCAGCGGCTGGCCAGCCGGCTCGAGGAACTCAAGACCAGCAGCCTGGCCCAGTACCCCGCCAAGGCCCGAGAGCACCTGAGCACCATCAGCGAGAAGGCCAAGCCCGCGCTGGAGGACTTCCGCCAGAGCCTCCAACCCATGGCGGAGCACTTCAAGAACACCCTCACGACCCTGTTCGATGAGGTCTCCAAGAAGCTGGATGCCCAGTGAGGCGCCCGCTGCCCGCGTCGGGTTCTTAGAATAAAGACGTTTCCACCTTGGGAAGCAGTGTCGTTCTTTGGGGAGATTCGCGGTGGGGCCTGGGGCCCCAGGTGGGACTCTGACCTAGGGGGTAGGGGCTTCCGGTATCGATTTGCAGGTGGGGGGGTGGGGGGGTGCACTTAGGAATAAAGCAGCGACCCTTTTCTAAGGAGGACTCTCCAATGGAGAGACCACAGGACCAGAGCGTGCTCTCAAGGAGCCACAGAGGGGAAGAGGGCTGGCTCTGTTGGGAGAAGAGGGTTTCCAGTCCTCAGAGGTGGGCACGTGGGCACGTTCATGTTCACATGGCAGGGCCCCTCCCAGTCCTCTGGCCCTGAGTGCACTGGGACTTGAAGGATTGGGCAGGCTCAGAGGAAGAGCTGGAAGCTCGCACCCACTTCCTTGATGAATTTCACCACGGCTGCACCCCACGTCTCACGTGCCCACCAACCCAGAAACAGAAGGCAGCCATAGACCCGCCTGCCCTCCTTGCCACCAGGCACTGCTTGTAGGCAGGTAGCGGGTTTTTAATGTGAAGATGCTTTCACACCCATCTCAGTCCTGGGGGAGGCTGTCATCAGACCAGTTTACAACTGGGGCCGAGGAAGCCTGAAGAGGGGAAGGTGGACCTGGAGGCTCTGTGGGCTGTCTGCCCAAACGCCCATGATTATGTTTGCAAACCGAGGTGTGTGACCAGGCGCGCGCGCTCTCTCTCTCTCTCTCTCCCCACCACTGCTCACAGTCTGCACAGTCTGCCCGTCCTCACACGCATGCCCATGCCCCCATGTGCTTCTCAGATGTGAGCATTAATGGGGCCATTCCTGCCCTCTCCCAGGGCCTTCTGCCTTTAGCAGGGGCCCTAGGATTCCTGAGGGTGCAGTGGTTACTCGTTGGGCTGCAATCCTCGTGGTAGCCAGTTCGGAACCACCAGCAGCTCTTCGGGAGAAAGACTGGGCTTTCTATTCCTGTCAACAGTGACAGCCTCAGAAACCCCCCGAGTGCCGGGGTCACTCTGAGTCAGCCTTGACCCAATGGCAGCGAGAGGAGAAGAGGAGCAGGAGCCCTGCTGGGCTAGTTGGTACTGTAGGGCTGCTAACCACATGGTCAGCAGTTCAAAACCCCCCTCCCATCCGAGGGGGAGCCATGAGGCTTGCTACTCTCATAAAGAGTGCTAGTCTCTGGGAACACGGTGGGAGCACTAGAACCGATTGGGAATGTACAACTCGGATTGAAGGCAATTTAACCTTGGGGTGGGGTAGGGGGTTGCTCTAAGATAGAGGTGGTGGTGATTGTATAATTCCCCTTGATATGTTTGGACGATTGGACTACTTAATTGTATGATATGTAAATTATGTGCCCATGAAACTGTTGTGTGTGGTGACAGTCTCAGACCCACAGGGGCAGTTCTACCCTGTCCTATGAGTCGGCATCTGCTGGAGGGCAGTGAGCACCTTCTCCTGGATAATCCACCTCTCTTTTAACTCAGGTGTAGTTGAACAGCCCCCTGGATAAAGAGTGGGCTTTTTAGTTCCCAACCGCCCATCACCACAGTAGATGCCACTCTCAGATTTGGGTGGGGGACATCTCTCAGTGTGAGGCGCTGACCTCTTGATTCTAGGTGGGCCGGCAGAGAAGCCCAGGTAGGTTTCCAAAGAAGGAACAAAGTCTCTGAGTGGGGTGTGGATGGGGCAGGATGTTCCACTGCTCCGAACCTCTGTGAGGGCCAGCAGTTACTAAGACACACACACACACACACACACACCCCACTTTCTGGTCTGGCTGGCCTGTAGAGCTCTAGCCTCAGTTTCTTCATCTGAAAGTGTGAAAGCCTGCTTATATAGTCACTCTCTGACATGATTATCTGGCGCACGGTGGGGACACATCAGTCTCTGTCGGGGTCACCTGGAGTGCCTTCTTGGTTCCCAGGACATCTGCCTGCCACCACCACCACCACCACGCCATTCCTGGTCTCAAGGAGACAACTAGCTTAACCTAGAACCACAATGACAGCTCCTTACCAGGTCCTATTCACACACCAACTCTGATCCCAAATGCCTCTGAGCACGTTCTCACAACAAACCTGCATCAGGGGACATGGAGGGGCCTACAGAGAAGATGCTGAGGCTGGTATTCGCTGTGCAACCACTATTAAGCCTCACTGCCTCTTACTCCCACCCCAACCCCAGCCTGCTTCCCATCCCTCAAGAGTGGCTGCTAGGAGCAGGTAGTCCAAATATCACAAATCACACACACAATCACATCTCTGATGGTGAAATCTTAATGCCCAACACAGTGCCCGGAAAGCATGAGCTTGAGCCAGGCTGTGTAGCACTGGACAACTTATCCCAGTATCTCCCAGACTGCTGTTCCAGTTGCCTCTCCACACAAACCTGTCAGGGCAGGTAGGGGCAATTCCTACCTTACAGGTGAAGACACCTGGGCCCAGAGACCACCCAGCTACTAGAATTGTGGAGGACGCAGGCCTGCCCAAGCTGACATCGCAGGGCCCACCACCCACACGACAGCCCGATGCATACCCCTCCCCAAGCATACGTGGTGAACTACTCAAGGCAGCTTCTTGTCTGGCTTTATTGGGACAAAGGTAAGGGCAGACCAGACCTAAGGTGGGGTGTCCCTTTCAAGCAACCTCCGAGAGCTGTCCTGGAGGCTGGAGCACCCAGGGAGCCAGGACGGGTGGACAGGCCGCCTTGGGGTGATGAAGTCTCAGAAGGAGTAGGATGGGTTGGGAGTTGGTTCGGCTTCAGAGGTGGAGTCCCAGAACCCAGAGAACTTGTCCTTCAAAGTGCTCCAGTAGTTTTTCAGGGAGCTGAAGCTGCCACTCACCCAGCCCCTAGAAGGGAAGTCAATGAGAGGAAGCAACAGAGGTAGGTGTGAGAGGCAACCATGGGACCCCCACCTACACCCCACCACCTCCCCCTGCACCTGGCGACACCCTGGGATCTCTTACCAAAGGCGCTGGAAGTGGTTACGGGGCAGAGGCAGGGCCTACCATGATTCTAACCCATGCGTTCCTCCGGGTTGGGTCAGCTGGGGTGGACTGTCATGCTGTGTGGTATTCTCTGTGTGAGTGGTGCCCCCTGGAGTTGTGCCTGTGGCGCAGTGGGAGGCAGCCTCTCTTTGGGGGAAATCTCAGAATGACTAATTGCTTAGCTGTGTGATCTGGGGCAGGACATATAGCCTTCCTGCGCCTCCATGTCCTCATCTGCAAAATGGGGACACAAGTACCCATGCCACGGTCTGTTCTGAGGATCACGGATGTTTGAACACGTGCTAGGGAGGTGGCCGCCAAGTGGAGGTGGGGGCAGTCCTTTGGGAGAGGGCAGGGCGCATAAGCAGGCCCAGGAGTAGGGTGGGGGGCAAAGGGAAGACTTGGATCTGCACTGGTCCCAGGGCTGGACCAGTCACTGTCCAGTTGGCTGAACTTCACAGTGCCCATGGGCACCAGAGCAGAGCCGTGCTACGGAGGATTGTGACCGGACGGTTTGCTGGGTGTAGGTGGCCACGCAGTTCTTGCAAGGTAGGAAGGGGAACATGTACTTAGCAGCTGAGCACGGGAGCCATTGTCTCCCCCAGGGACTCCCGAGGCCAGGAACAAGGCAGAGAAACACCCTCCTGGGCAGAAACTGTGTCGAGTGGGGCCTCTGGAAGGGAGCCCTCTGGCCAGTCTCTCAGAAAGCGAAAGAGGACACAAGGGCACAAACAGCCTGTGTTAGGATAGCAACACCTGGAGGGGCAATAGGGGGGCACACCGGGAAGGGGGCCAGGAGGAATGGAGCACCCCCACTTCAGTCATCTGTCCCCTCTGCCCCTGTCACCCCATGAGTGGGACCCCATTCTGGAGCAGACAGCTTCCCCGGGGTGGAAGAAAGCACAGGGCCCGTGTTCCACGTCTGGCTGGGGCTGGTGTCAGCAGGGCAGGCAGGAGCTGGCCTGAGGCCGAGGGAGGGAGGGCCCGTGGGCTTACTTGGCCTGCTGGGCCACCGTAGACTCCTGCACACTGGTCAGTGCGTTCTGGGCGGTCTTCTTGGCATGGTCCACGTAGTCCTGCATGACGTCCAGGAGGGAGGCATCCTCGGGCTCGGGCTCAGGCTCGGCAGCCCCTGTGCGAGGGTAGGGGCTAAACTGAGTGGACGGGACCTTCCGGGCAAGTCCTCCACTCCTGCTGGCCACGCATTGGGGCCCTGGGGCTGTGAGCCACTCTCTGGGGGGCTTCTAGGCAGCTGACTGCTGCTGTCCACCTCCAGCCCAGTCCCCACCAAGTGCTTACAGGCAGTGGCCAGGAGCGCCAGGAGGGCAGTGACGAGGATGACCCGGAGTTGCATGGCACCTCTGTCCCTGCAGAGAGGAGTCTTGTGAGGGGTGCCCCAGCCACCCCCCAACCACCACCACCACTGGGCCCTGGCCTGGAGAGGTGGCATCAACTCCACAGCAGGAGCGGAGCTGGGTGGTCACAGGAGAGGGGCCTGTTCCCCTGCTAATGGGGGGAGGCAGGGGGTTCTCAGGGGGCTTCAGGAAAAGGATGGGAGTGGGATGGAGCAGCAAGCCCACCTGAGTGGGACTTGAGACGACGCCTCTGGGCTCTGTCACTAGCGTGCTATGTGACTTTGGATAGATTTCTGTCCCCCCTCGCCCCTTTTCCTGTTCTGGGCTAAAACAAGGTGTCTGACTTCTCCATGCCCCAAGACACAAGCTGAGGGGAAAGGGCAGATTCGGGCAGACAGCTCTGGCTCCTAGTTCCAGCTCAGCCACCACTCTGCTCTGGGTCGCTTTGGGCAGTGCCTCCCCCGACTCTCCCCGACCCCTGTGTACATCAGGAGACCCTCATCAAGCACTTCTGCCTTTTGACTCTAGAAAATCCCCCTCCAGCCTTTGTTGTTGGGCTGGGCAGGGGCCTTCCTCCACCCCTCCCCATCCTGATACCCTCTTCCTCCTCCTCTCCCCTCCCCTCCTCTCCTCCTCCTCAGGAGCCTTTACCTGGATCTGCTGCTTCTTGGGATGAACAGAAAAGGCAGACCAGAGGGTTTTGCCCTGTCTTATATTGTCCCCAGGGCGGTGGGCACAGAGAACTCAGTGAGCCGGCCAAAGGTCACCTGCTGACCAGTCCAGACCAAGGCCTGAGGCAGGGTGACCAGTGGCAGCCAGGCCTGCTGGGAAGAATTGGGCAATCTAGGGAGCTTTGGGTGCCCACACCACTCTTCTGCTACCCCTGCAGCCAGAGGGACTGGGGAATTCAGGGTTATTGGATCCGGGACACCTAGTCACAGCACCCCTGGGGAGAGGCTGGTGTGATTGGAGAGGAACTCGGGGAATGAACTGGGGGCCTCTGGGTCCATGGCAGTCCTTCACACTTGAGTTTCAGGTCCCTCCATTCTCCCCCACCGCACTCCCTCTCCATCACCAAGCCCTGAAGACAGCCTGGACAGGAGGGAACCGCGTGGAACATGGGCTTCTTCAGACTCGGGAGCAACTGTCCCCTCCTCAGCGGGTCTGGGTGGGTGAGCAGGGGGGTCCAGAGAGTGAGGTTGTGTGTGAGGAAGGGCTGGCCCTTCCCTTTCGAAGCCCTTCTGGGCTTCGGTCCCCAGGACTGCTTACCCAGGAGCCTCCCCCAGCTCGGCCCGAGAGCAGGTGTTGGTAAGAGAAGGGCAAAAGCCATTCTGAGTCAAGGCCTTTGTCCCGCCCCTCCCCTCCTCCTCACCTTGCCCTCTGGACCCACTGATAAACATCCCGAGAGCAGGACCAGAGCTCATGGCTGGGGCCTGGCTCCCAGCACCCAGTGTCCCTCAACCTCTGGCCTCAGGCTTTCAGATCAGACAGGAGCCCTCATACCTCCCTGGCCATGTGACAGCTGGAGGAACAGAGGCTGTGGCACGGCTGGTCTGGTGGACAGAGGGTAGCAGAGGATCGGCAGGGCTAGCGGCTGTGGGAACGAGGTCCCCTGGCCCACACTGCCAGCTGTAACCCCGTGGCAGGTTCAAGGGCTTTGTTCTATGCATGCTAGGACTTCAGAGTCGTGGGTCCAAGGCTTGAATGATGCCTTTGGCTCTTAGTTACCTAAGCCTGGACCGGCGATCTAGCATGCCAGAACATGTCACACAGGCAAGGACACCAGTCTCACAGAGCTGTGGGGAGCAGCAAGGGAATCCTGTTCCAAACAGCTAGCTCAAGATGGGGGACGCAGGAATTCTCGCTCCTCCTCCCCCCGAAGATCTTGCCTTGCCCCCGCACAGGGTGGTCTGAATGCACGAGGAGCCCCCAGGCCAGAAGCAGGGCTCTAGACAGGTGGCCTTTTCTCAAGGGCTAAGGTCCGTGTGCCGGCACACCCTCATGAATCCGTACTCCATGGCTGAGGCTTGAAATCCTTCCATCAGAGATTCACCCCTTCGCTCAGGCCTTTGCTTTCTGTTAAAGTGGGCTGGGTCTGGTGCAGCGCACCTCACTAACTCCGTTTTGTAAGTGAGACACTGGGACTTGGAGGTGAAAAGAGTTCCCCAACTGCAGACAATCAGAATGCAGACTTCAAATTCTTGAATGGCTACCAAACAGTCTTGAGAGATGGGACTCTCACAGGCGTCCCAGCCAGTCAGACTTCATAGTGAATGTTTCAGATCTCTTCCTGAGCGTGAACTTTGATCACGGGGTGGAAAGAAAACACAGGTTCTGGAAGTAGTGGGGGTGGAGGGGTGGAGGAGGGTTGGGGGCGGGGGGATGGGAGGTGGGCAAGAAGGGGGCTTTGCCAGCTGGAACCCAAAATGGCCCTCTGGGGTTAGGCCGGCTTTTGCTTTTCTTGCATCCAGGTGAGGCTTAGTAAGTGAGCCTGTCTGAGCCATGCTCCTGATGCCAACCTGGCCCCCCAGCCCCTGACTCAGGCCTGTAAGCCGAAGGCCCTTGCTTACCTACAGCTCTCATGCCGGAAGTTCCTTCTGGTTTCTCACCCAAACAGCAGGAGCTTCCTCTTAACCAGAGGAAGGAGGACCCTTCCGAGGTGAGAATGTGTGTCATTGTGACTTGTCCGGTTCCCTCTGGACACTGGCCTCTGGGATGACCCCCAGGGTAACTTCAAGGTTGAATCAATGCCCCCCACCCCCACCATGAGGTCTGTCTGATGATGTGCAAACAAGGAAAGTGAGGCTCAGAGAAGGGGCAGTGACTGGCCCAGGATCATGGGGCCCCTTTGTGTCCATTGACTGCAGACGCACCCGGTCCCCAGGATCAGGTCCTGCAGGAAGTACAGGCAACACAAGGGAGAACGCCTCATTCTCTTTCCTCCCCCAACAAAAGCCCACTGACAGACCAATACCAAACACACCCATTAGAGACTACAGGAAATAACCACTGGGGCAGGGGACACTCCCTCCCAGGGTTGTGCATGTGAGCATGCACATAGACCATTCGCCGCCCCTCACCCCTGCTGAGTTCACCAGCAGAGAAAACTTTGGCACACTTGTGTGAACCTGTGCACATCCTGGCAGACACCCCAGACAGACTCCAGTCAGCGCAGACACTCCCAGGTGAGGAGACAGGGCACCTTGAACCCGCCACATACAGCACCTCCCGCTGCTCAGACTCCAAGTCCAAGTGGTCAAACTGCAGCGCAGGTGTTTTTCGTGACTCATCCTCTCCTCCTATCTGGCCCAGCAGGGAGGGCTGGGGGTGAGTGGGGCTGGGCTGAAGGCTGAACCAGGAGAGAAACATTTCCAAAATGAAACATGTCTGACAGAGCACTTACTATGGGCCTGAGGAGCCCTGGTGGTGTATTGGTTATGCATTGGGCTGTTAACCTCAAGGTCAGCAGTTTGAAACCACCAGCCGCTCTGAGGGAGAAAGATGGGGATTTCTACTCCCTCTAGAGCAGTGGTTCTCAACCATTCCTAATTGTGTTGCCCTTTAATACAGCTCCTCATGTTGTGGTGACCCCCCACCCCCAATCATAACATTATTTTTGTTGCTACTTCATAACTAATTTGGCCACTGTTATGAATCGGGTGGCGCCTGTGAAAGGGTCACGACCCACAGGCTGAGAACGCTGCTCTAAAGGGTTGCAGTCTTGGAAACTCACAGGGGCAGTTCTACCCTGTCCTATAGGGTCGCTATGAGTCAGCATCTACTCGATGGCAGTGAGAGTTTTGGGTACTATGAGCCCTGGTGGGGCTCTCTGGTAAGCGTTGGGCTAGTAACTGCAAGGTCAGTGGTTCAAATGCACCAGCTGCTTCTCAGGAGAAAGATGAGGCTGTCTGTTTCCTGTACAGATTTTCAGCCTGGGAAACACTGCGTAGGTCCCTGGCAGTGGGCTGGGTTGGGCCTGGTAGTATATCCCCAGCATCGCACAGATGATCCCACAAAGTCTTCATCGAGGTTTTCCCAAACTGACGAGACCTGTGGCACCTCTTTGCCTGAATCCGTACAGAGAGATGCACCCTTAGGAAGTGAGATTCCAGAGACCAAACTCCCACCAGCACCAGGTGGAGATGGAGAGGACCAGGTGCAGGGTGTGTCCCACCTGGCGGGGCCCCTGCACAGGGGTACCAGCACCAGGAGGCCTTTTATTGCTACCCAATCCCACGAGTCACCAGGAAACACAGACATGGCAACCTCGGGCTAGCAAAATCGTGACCTATTGTGGCAGCACGTGTTTTACAACTGGCTGGGAGCCCACCTACACATGGGTCGCTGTGCGCACAGAGAGGAGCCAGCAAGGGAACACTCAGGGCTTCCTGGGTCTCTGAAGGCACTGTGGTCCCACCAGCGAGCCTGGTGATGGTGCATGGACTTCGTTTAGAGATAAGATTAGATGTCCAGCTAGAAGACATCATCACGCTGACCCCTCACCCCAGGGACAGGACCCTGGAGTGCCTCAGGCCCTCTCCCTCTGCTCACCTGGCTCCTCCTGCCCAGGACGTGTGTCTGGGCTGCAAGCTGAGGGTGATGTGACCCAGGGTTGCTATGAGTCAGACTCGACTGGATGGCAGTGAGGTGCTTGTTTGTTTTTAATTTCTCATTCGATAGATCTAACAATCTCATTGAACGTGCCCAACAAGCACCCCTCCCCGCTTTTGTATTTTTCAGAAGAGGCATTGAGTCCAATAGGATTGAATGACTAGACCCACAGCTTGGCAGTGGGGGAGAGGCATGGGGCATACTTACACCCCACCCACCTACCTGAAGGCTCTCAAGGGCCCCCTCGTGTGATCAGAGACCTAAACCGTGGCTCTTCTCACTTCTGCAGCCCTGGAAAGTCCCAGTGCCGTGTGTGGGGCTCTGAAGATGGAGTCGGAGTTGGTGGCCGGTGGGGGATGGGGGCTCTGCTACTGGGCAGCAGAAGAGACATGGACTTTGTTCCCTGAGCCTGGCACAGGTTTAGGGCTGCCAGCAGGGCCCTGGTCCAGGGGTTTCCCTAGGCCTTGTTTCTTCAATAGCTCTTGCCCCTCCCCTTCTCTACTGGGTGGGGCTCAAGCCCAGAACAGCTTCTCCTGACCTCCTGCTGAGCCCTGGTCCACGGTCCACTTCCACGTCATCCTCAGGTCACTAAAGTCCAAGAGGCCTCCTGGGAATGTGTCACCTTCCAGCGTGGAGTTGCCCTGGGGCGGGGGCGGGGCTGGCTGCAGCCTGGTGGGGTTTAAATGTTTGGCCAACTCTGAGCTTCAGTCAGTTGGAGCAGCAACCCAGGGGAGCTACCCCAGAACCTCTCCTGCAGCTGCCTCGGATCGCAGGAGAGACCCAGCGGACACAGGGACACTCCAGCCCAGAGAAGAGCCCAGGATGTTTCTGAAGCCTGTGGCCCTGGCCCTGGTGGCCCTGGTGGTTGTCACCGGTGAGTAGAAGCTGTCCTTGGGTGGAAAGGAGCTATTGTTGCATCGAGCAGGAGAGGGTGGAGAGTTGGGGGCCAAAGGCAGGGAGGATGGTGAGCCCTAGCTGGAAATGGGGGGTGGGGTAGGGGCTGCCTCATGGCCCAGTGGCTCCCTGGAGAGCTGAGCCATTCCCAGGAGCAGGGGACCCGTTTCGCCTGCCCCTGTGGCTTCCGAGGAGCAAAGGGCACAGAAGGGAGTGGTGAGCTGCACTTGCACCCCCCACCATCCAGTGTGCAGCTCAGGGGGGGTGTCGAGGAGCCGGCCCTCATGAACTGTGTGTTCTCTGTTCCCTGCCCAGGCACCCAGGCAGAGGTCAGCCCCGACCAGGTGGCCAAAGTGGTGTGGGACTACTTCAGCCAGCTGAGCAACAATGCCAAGGAGGCTGTGGAACATCTCCAGAAGTCCGAGCTTACACAGCAGATCAAGTAAGATGGACGGGCTGTCCAGAGGCCACGCCATGCATTTTCGAGGGAGGAGACCTGAGCCGGGAAAACCTACCCCCAGCCGCTAATCAGTGACCCTGGGGTCTCGACGCCAAGGGTCTTCATTTGGAAACAGGGAGGTGGGGCTGAACGATGGAATAGTGGGACACAGGGTCACGTCCCAACCTTGAGGACACAGAGGGCTCTAATTCACATCAGAAGGACGGTGGGATCGGGGGAAGGGTGCTGGGGGTGTTTGGGGAGCCTCTGAGGGTGGGAACATGCAAGGAGATCAGTACCTTGTCTCCCTGGACCCCCTGGGAGGAGCCCAAATGGCGCCACACAGCACTCTCCTACAGGATGTGAGCCTGCGTCCTCGCAGTCTGCCTGAGCTGGGAAGGACCTCCGTCCCACCCCTGTGCATTACAGCAGGGCAAGGGAATGGTGCCGCTCCAGGTCACATGACCGGCAGAGCCTGTGACCCTCCACTCTGGGGGAGATCCAGGGAGGCAAAGCTAGTGTGTGATCCTAGTCTTTCTTATCGGTCTCTCAAGTCACGACTTACTAGCACCCCCTCCCTCTCCGCCCTGGGAAGGGCCCCAGGGTAAAAGGTGTCCCTGGCAGGTTCGCCCTGGGTGAGTGGTGGATAAGGGGACAAGGTCCTATCATGAGAGGCCGAGTGTAACGGGGTCCCCCTCGTTGTACCCATTCCCGGCAGCACCCTCTTCCAGGACAGACTTGAGGATGTGAACAACTACGCCAGCGACCTGCAGCAGAAGCTCGTACCCTTCGCCACGGAGCTGCATGAGCGCCTGACCAAGGACTCGGAGAAGCTGAAGGAAGAGATTCGGAAGGAGCTGGAGGAGCTGCGGGCCAGGCTGCTCCCCCACGCCAACGAAGTGAGCCAGAAGATCGGCGACAGCGTGCGGGAGCTGCAGCAGCGCATGGGGCCCTACGCGGAGGGGCTGCGCACCCAGGTCACCGCGCAGACCGAGCACCTGCGGAGCCAGCTGGTCCCCTTGGCCCAGCGCATGGAGACAGTGCTGCGGGAAAACATGGACAACCTGGAGGCCTCCCTGACCCCCTTTGCCGAAGAGATGAAGACCAAGATCGACCAGAACGTGGAAGACCTCAAGCGGCGCCTCGCCCCTTACTCGGAGGAGATCAAGGCCAAGATCGACCAGAACGTGGAGGAGCTCCGCCAGAGCCTGGCCCCCTACACCCAGGACGTCCAGGAAAAGCTCAACCGCCAGCTGGAGGGCCTCACCTTCCAGATGAAGAAGAACGTGGAGGAGCTCAAGGCCAAAATCGACACCCAGGCCGAGGAGCTGCGCAAGAGGCTGGGGCCCGTGGCCGAGGACGTGCGTGGCAAGCTTCAGGGCAACACGGAGGAGCTGCAGAAGTCGCTGGCCGAGCTGAGCCGCCAGCTGGACAACCAGGTGGACGAGTTCCGACGCACGGTGGGGCCCTATGGCGAGGCCTTCAACAAAGCCCTGGTGCAGCAGATGGAGGAGCTCAGGCAGAAGTTGGGCCCCTACACCGGGGACATGGAAGGCCACTTGACCTTCCTGGAGAAGGACCTGAGGGACAAGGTCAACTCCTTCTTCAGCACCCTCAAGGAGAAAAAAAGCCAGGAGGAGCAGGCCGCCTTCCCCGTCCCGGGGCTGGAGCAGGCTCCTGCCCCGCTGGAAAGCTGAGCCACCCCTGGGACCCCCACTCCTGGGCAGCTCCCACCTGTCCCGTCAGGCCCCTCGTCTGTCTGTCTATCCGAAAGCAGACCTGGTATGCGCCGGAGGACACCTGTCCAGTGGGATGTGATGGTACCTCAATAAAGCTGTGCTGAAAAACTAGCCCGGTCTGGTGGCAGTGTGACTCCTTGTTGCGGGGCCAGAGGGGGACATTGAAACTTGCCCCTTGGCAACCCTTAGCAGGGAGCGGGCAGATGGCACCTTGGGGACTACCGAGGGCCAGGGAGGTGACTGCGGCAGGATGAGGGCAGGGTGTGCTGGACCGACCTGTGTGAGGAGCGCTCTAAAGGAACAGTGCTCTAAAGGGAAGAAGGTTGTCCAAAGACTAAACGCACAACTGGGAGGCCCCGAGGGATGCAAACGGCGAAGGTGCAAACTAAAATGGTGGTGGTCTGAGTCGGCCCCGAGGTGCCTTGGAATAAAGGCCCGGTGATCATTGACAAGCCGCTGGAGCCCGGTCCTATTCTGACACCCAGGCCTTTTGGAATGTCCCAGGGGAAGCCCCTGGCTAGTGTTCTGGTCCTTTCTCCTCTCCTCCCTCCCAAGGTGCTCACTGAGCATCGTTGTTTTGCTCTGAGCCCTGGAGGCAGCGTGGGTGCCCTGCCTGGTGGGAAGGTGATGTTGGACCCAGGCCTTCCTGGATTTTACATTTCATTTTCCACTGACTACCACGCCATGATCTGGGACCCATCCTTACCTTCCTGTAGAGAGTAGTAATAGCAACAGTCCTTGTGAGTTGGGAGGGTTGAGGGAGCAATAGGTGCCCTGCACTTAGCACAGGATCAGACACGCAGCGTGAGTGAGGCTGGTATAATACAACAGATGCCCAATCGATGTGATCCCCACCCCACCCCCATAACCTCCTTATCTTAGGAACCCTACCCCCAACTCCCAGTCACGTGCTATTACATGATGCTTATCAGAGGCAGCCAAAGGCAGACCCCTGGATCTCCCCAACCTGACACGTTCTCACTCCCAAATTCCAGGTCTGCAAAGCTGCTGCCACCTATTCCATATCTGATCCACTGAAGGGCAGCGCCCTACCTAGGAAGCACCGTGACAAACCCAGCACGTACTGTGACGTTTCCTGGTTGGCTTTAGAAGGGGCAAAGGGAATGAGGCACTAAATGGAAAATGGGGGAAGAGCCTGCACAGGTTCTAAATGGGTTCTTCGACCTCATCCGAGGACCGCCTGGTTGAGGACTGCTTGTAGGACCCTGGAGAGCCTCCACCTTTTCCAGAGCATGGGGCCTGGTAGAACTCTGCTGTTGTGCCACCCAAGGCTTTCATGAGGGTTCTGCCGTAGTCCCAGACGCTCTGGGTGAAGAATGCCCCTTTCCTGTACAAGATGCCTTGCCTGGCCTCCAGTTTCCTGAATGCCCACCTGGTAGTGGCATCTCTTTTGCCTGCCCATCGCCTAAACTTCCTTTGCTGTCTTAGGAATTTCTCACGTCTGAGTCTTGAAGTGAGTCAGAAGCTGCCTCCCATAACTGATGCTAACGATACCAGCCTCTTGTCTTCCAACCTCCTTTCCCTCTGGGACGTGGCATGGCCAATCCACACACAGGTGCTTGGCTCTGAATCGGGAGCCCGTAGAAATAAACAGCACAGCGGCAATCCTCTCTGGGGTGGGCAGGAGCATGGGGCAGCCCTGGCTGCCGGTGGCTGGCACCAGTGTCCTGGCTGGCAGTGGCACCAGGGTGTCCTCACCAGTCTGCTTTGGTGGAGAGATTGACGTCATGGTTCTCATGCCTTCTCTCCTGTTTTCCAAACCAATGACTCCAGCTTTCCAGGAAACTTCTAGAATGTCCTAAGAACATCAATTCCTTAAATTCATTTCCTGCTTATATTATCCAGAGTAGGTTTCTGTAAGCTGCTAGCAGTTAAGAACCTGGACTGGCATGTGCCCTCTCTGTTGCGGAGGTTTCTCTTGCTTTGCGCCTCGGAAGGAAGCCATGTCTCGTCCCTGACCTGTTCCAGATGGTCCTAGGCTTGTCTAAGGCATTGGTCTTCATTAGGGCTGGTT